ATTAGCTATGTTCTCCCCACTAAAAAGGCCATAAAAGCAGTGAAAATTTAGTTTTTACTGAATAAAATGTGAACAGGCAGGACTGAGGCCTCAGTCTGTAGCTGTCTATACCTCAACGTTACAAAAGCACAACCACTGTCCATACCCCAACCACACCTCACCTCATGGTAAATGATCATTTCCATTTTAAGCATTTCCAAATAATCATTTTCCATACTGCCAGTATAAATATACACAGTATACTGTCGTTGCTTCCAAATTGGCATTTGATGCATCCTTCCCCTGAATGTGGACCAGCCATCCTTCAAATTCGGGGAAAAGGACGCATTTGTCGCCACATTTGAAGGACTCTTTGAATTCCGACAGCCCTTCGCTGCAGGTGAGCCCATCTCCCCTGCACGACACTGCAGACTGTGCACCACAATCATCCTTAGATTAAAAAAAAAAATCAGATATAATTAATTTAAACTGTAAATACCATCTATCCATCCTCTACTTCTTATTCTTTTCAAGGTTGTGTGGGAGCTTATCCCAGCTACCACAGGGTAAGAAATACAAAGAGTTTACAAAGAACAGAGATGACAAAGTTCAAAGGTAACTGAGAATATTTTGGTATGCATGTTTATGCAGAAGTGTTTGATTTTAATGTTATTAGTGCACAATGCTAAGTAGATTTATTCAAAAGTCAAATAACATACCAACATTGGCTTTGATGGTCTGATGTTTGGGGCTTTCCATTTCTAAATGTTACAGATGAGATTTGCATCCAGCTCCTGTCCTGCACACAGTTTGGACAAAATCACCCCATGAAACCATCAGAAACTCCACGCTGGAAAACAGTTAAGTTATAAACTTTTTAAAAACAAAAACAAAACAAAGAAAAAAAAAAGCAAAAATGTAATAAATGCAATTTTTAAGAGCGTTACGCAGAGAGGTGTGGTGTGGAACACATCAGACATCACTCAGTCTAAACTGAAGTAATTAGTACTTAGTTTATTGGACAACTCTTACACATACAAACAGCAACTTCCCAAAATGCCCCCCTATCTTCTTCTTCTGTCATTTTTAACGACAGCTTGCATCCATGCATCATGACTTAACTGATTAACCACCTTTTCAAACGTTAGTTCCATTACACCACCCATTTCTACCCTCAACACTCTCTTACATACTTCCTACAACTAATAAGCACATGTTCAACCATCCCCATAGCATTACACCAATCACACAACCCAGTCAGATGTTTCCCCATCCTAAAAAGAGTACCATTTAGAAAGCAATGACCTGTTTGTATTCTACTTATAATAACCTAGAATATCCTGTCTATTTAATCCACTATGGCTCTTAACTTCTATTGTGTTTTGTATCCTATATAAATGTCTCCCTTGTACTTCATTATCCCATGCCATTTTCCAGAAATTCTTACTTTCTGTCCAAACTGTATTTTTCCCTTGCTTTGCTGTGTAGTAGAATTGTCTTGAACGTTCCAGCGAATAGGTTTATGCTACGAACCTATCAATGTATTTACAAGTTACACTTGTGTTTGAATCCTGCAGCTTATCACACATTTGATTTCCATGT